AAAAAAAAAAAAAAAGTTTTCTTTGGGGACTCCTTACTCTCCATTTCCTCACTCTGCCACATCCAAATGGAGAAACCTCTGGAAATATCAGGAAGTGGGGGTGTTCTTAAAAAATTATATACCTGATCTTGCAACGACCGCCAAAAAAAAAAAAAAAGAAATAAACATGACAAATTCTTCATTGAGTGTAATTAGTGCATTGATATATTGCTATATTATTATTCATATTTTTTAACTTAAAAAGGAAAGATACATGCAATTCTGGAAGGAAATTCAGTCTGTTACAGTAAATTATTCTAGGTAGTGAGATCTGATGTGATTAATTTTCCTTTCTGATAATTCACTGAATTTTCACATTGTCTATAATGAACATGAAATATTTTATAAATGAGAAAAAATGTTATGGGACACTTTCCTTAAGTAGCAACTATATTACAAAAATTATGTTTTTAAATTATTAAAATGATATATAGTTCTAACCTCTGCTTGATCGAAATCGTTATCTCTGAAATTTAATTCTGAAAGGTCAATTATAAAATTATCTTTTTCACTCTTCCAAATATCATCAGGCTCTTTCTTTTTTTGTCCCACTGTGCTTAAGTCAGCTTTATCAGGCAAAAGGCTGATTCCCCTTGGTATGGGAGGGACAGGCTTTGTCCCATTGAGGCCTCTTCGGGAAGATGGTGATCTCACCAAGGCAGGTGTAAGTTGAACTGGAGAAGGCTTTTCTTGATAATTTTCTCCTGAGCAAAAAATACAGGTTATTTTTTCCATAAAGTGTTTAGAATACAGTATTTTCAAGGCACATTCCATTTTATTAAAAATACTATTTAAAATGAGATAAAAGTATCAACATCATTTAATGAATATAACAAAAATTAACATGAAATTCTTTCACAATGCAAAAAACTATTATATACCAGGTTACACTGTACCTTATCATCATACATATCACCATGAACAATGTTTGTTATGATAAAAGTCCAAAATAAACATGAAGGGCTACTCTTCTGGTTTAATTACATAAGTAATATCTCAATAACTAATGTATGTGAAGCAATAATAATGGTCACTTGGGAAAGCAAGTCTCTACTTGAATGTTATTTTATTTATTTATGTTTTATAGTGCTGGGTAGCAAACTGAGAGCCTTATGGCTACTAGACAAGCCCTTTCCCACTGCGCCACAACCCTAGACCAAACAAAGTCTTAGCTCCTAATAAAGTATTATAGGAAAGGTAAAAAAAAAAATTAATAGGAGGCTGGGAAGGTGGCTCAGTGGTAGAGCGCTTGCCTTGCATGCATGAGGCCCTAGGTTCGATTCCTCAGCATCACATGAGCAAAAAGGAAAAAGCCGGAAGTGGTGCTGTGGCTCAAGTGGTAGAGCGCTAGCCTTGAGCTGAAGAGCTGAGGGACAGCGCCCAGGCCTAGAGTTCAGGCCCCACGACCGGACCCCCCCAAAAAAAAATTAATAGAAGGAAAAGAAAGTTCAATGTTAAAAGAAAGTGAAAGAATAAGAAATTGGCAGCCAGTGGCTCACATCTGTAATCTTAGCTTTTTAGAGGCTGAGATCTGAGGATTGAGGTTCAAAGGCAGCCTGGGCAGGAAAGTCCATGAGACTCCTATCTCCAGTTAACCACCAGAAATTGGAAGTGGTGCTGTGGTACAAAGTAGTAGAGTTGTAGCCTTGAGCAAAAGAGCTCAAGGACAGCACCTAGGCCCTGAGTTCAAGGCCCACAACTGAAGAAAAGAAAAGAAAAATAGGCAGTCAGCTGAGTTTGTTTCACCCCACAGTAACGCTGTGGGGTGAAACATTTTACCTCAGTGGCCAGGGACAGAAAAACTGTAAGATATGGATGATTCCTTTACACAGACTTTTCTTTCAAAAACTGGATTTGTTCTGAATGAACTCATACTCTAATTACATGGTTTTGAGATGGAATATTATAAAGAATATTTTAGTTTGTAATAAATAATAACCCTTCAAAATATAGTTAACATATAATAAATATTTAATGAGATAGGCATTAAATATAGTAAATAAAAATATAAACAATATTTTATATGTTTGCAGGCTCTTTAATAATACATGCAATATTAAAGTTTTATTACTTCTTTTTTTTTAAGAAGCTTTTGAAGTGTCAATATAAAAAAACCACATGACCATTTTGGCCAGATTTTATATTACACTATTTTATATATATATTATTAAATAGCTTCCTAAGCTGAGCACCAGTAGCTCACTCTACTACACTATTAAATAGATTCCTAAGCCAGGCACCGGTAGCTCATGCCTGTAATCCTAGCTACTCAGGAGGCTGAAATCTGAGGATAGAGGTTCAAATCCAGGGAAGTCAGTGAAACTCTTATCTCCAATTAACTGCCAGAAAATCTGAAGTGGCTCTGTGGCTCTGAAGAGCTCAGGGACAGCACCCAAGCCCAGAGTTCAAGCCTTATCACTGATCAAAAAAAAAAAAAAGTTTCCTAAATATTTACTAAGTCAAAGAAATAAAACATAATTCACCAGGTTTTAAAAAAAATCTAACACCTTTATATATTTAGTGTAAAATACTAATAAAATATGCAAATAAGTTTAAACAAAATACTGATTTTTACCATCATTTCTACCTGTAGGTTCAGATGAGTTTGGGCTGACAAGTTTTTTCTGTGGACTTGGCTTTGATGGTCCTTCAAAACTTTTAAGAGGCCAGGAATTTGAGATACTAATGGAATTATCTTGAGACTTCTTTGGAGATACATTAAGTGGAGATGTGTGCTTTGGACTAGCTCGAGGTGATGAGAGAGGATAGGATGGAAGAATAAAGGCTCCTGGATTTGGATTTGAGCCAGAGAATAATGAGGTATGTTCTACTTGATTACCAAATGTTGGCTGTGTCTTACTACTGAAATTTAGGCTAGAATACCCTGCAATAAAACAAAAGAGAAAATATTTATATATATATATATATATATATACACACATATTCTCAGAGCTTACAGTTAATTTTCTTTTCACATTCATATTTTCATCCCATATCCCATATTTTTATATGGTATTAGGTAAAGATCTAATTAAGTTTATATTTAACCCTTTGTATCTTCTAATATAAAGCTTTCTTAACCTATTGAAAATTTCCACTACATTTATAGATTACTTTTGCAAGTTACATACACATATATATCTGTCACCCACACATACACACAAATGCATGCCACACACATATGTACATACACACACATATCCAATACCCCAGAAAAGTTGTCTTCTCAGTAAATTATTCTCTCATAATAAATATAATCTGCAGTACTAAAATTGTTTTTAGTTTTATTGTACATATTTCTCTTAAAAATTTTATTTATGGGGCTGGGAAGGTGGCTCAGTGGTAGAGCGCTTGCCTTGAATGCATGAGGCCCTGGGTTCGATTCCTCAGCACCACATAAGCAGAAAAATAAAAAGCCGGAAGTGGTGCTGTGGCTCAAATGGTAGAGAGCTAGCCTTGAGCTGAAGAGCTGAGGGACAGCGCCCAGGCCCAGGGTTCAGGCCGCACGACCGGACTCCCCCACCCCCCAAAAAAATTATTTATATCTACTTTTCTTTGAGAATTTGCCTACATGTTTCCCATGTTTTACTTTCTCCTAATCTGTTTCATTCGTGGCAATGGTGGCCTCAAACCTGAACTCTCATGTCTCAATCTCTTGTGTATTAGGAGTATAGTCATGCACTAGCATCACATTATTAATAATATAACAAATAACACTTTTTTGTGATAAACAGAATTATATAAAATAACATACAAGCTAGTGTTGGAAATCATACATATTATAAAAAATAATGTTTCCAAATAAATTTGGGACTTATACCTTTATCTTGAGGACTGTTATTTGTCCCTAAGAATTGTAAGTCAGAATCCACACTGCCAGTTTTACCACATATCTGTGAAAATCCAAACTGCCCACATTTCCCAGTATGATTGGCCTGATGAGTTCCAGTAGCACCTTCTGAAGGAGGGAGAGGGGGAAAAACATAAAATAATCTTTATTTCCCAAGAATACCTTATTTAACAGATATAAGTACAGTGAGCCAGGCAGGCAGAAAAAAGATAAAGCTTTGGTACTGACAAACCTGATTGTGTAGGAGTTAATGTTCAGAAACACAGACTAGTAAAGGGCAAGAAAGAATAGGTATAGGTAAATTGAATAATATATACTACAGCAGTGTCTTCCTTCATTCTCTTTCTCACTATATTTCTTCTCACTATATCTTTCTTCCATATTATAGTACATATACCACCCTAAAAAGTTTTACTAAAGAACTCTTCTCTTTTCAAACACACTATACAACATTCCTGTAGTTTTCTCTCTTTCCCTTTCTCCCTTACTGACTTCATTCTTCCCTCCCTCCCTGTCTCTCTCCTCCTCCCTCTCTTTGAGATAGGGGCTTGCTATGTAGCATAGACTGGCCTTAGTCTCATCATCATCCTGCCTCAACCTCCCAAATCCTGAAATTATAGGCATGTACTACCATACCTGGACATTCATGTAGTTTCTAAGCTTATCCAGGCATTCCCCAAATCCCTTTCCTCCCCCATGACTAACCTGGATAGATAAAGAAGTTTATTTTTTTTAAAGCTTATAATGATGTCACTAATGTTCAGTTTGTTCAACTAAAAAATAAGGAAGTACTTTGTAATTCTAAAATTCTATGACTTATTCTCTCACTATGATTTCAATGTTCAGCATATCTTGTAGATTAATTCTCACATTCACACTTTTGGTCCTACTTCTATCCTGCTCATGATATTTCCTCCTGCCTCACTACAAGCCACAAAACCTCTATTTTCTTTAAAGTCTAGTTCAAGCTAACCTCTTCCTTTCTTGAGTTCTTATGATATTTATAAAACAATCTAGGGGATGGGAAAATGGCTCAGTGGTAAACTGCCTGCCTCGCATGCATGAGCCCAGGGTTCGAATCCTCAGCACCATATAGACAGATAAAGCGGCAAGTGGTGCTGTGGCTCCAGTGATAAGAGCACTAGACTTAAGCTGAAGAGCTGAGGGACAATGCCCAGGCCCAGAGTTCAGGCCCCACATCCGGACCCCCCCCCAAAAAAAATTTAACATCAAGTTATACATTACCTTACTCTGTAGTTGTTTAAAATCTGTACAATAAGTAACACGTTTTGCAATGGCAGAGGAGCTATAACACTTATAAAAATCTAAAACAATGGCATGAAAATAATACTGTACTTCTTTTCTCTATCAAATAAACTAGTCAATACATTTTCAAAATATGATGGAACTTTACTGCATAAAGGTCTATAAATTCTCCTAGAGGAATGATTTGTTGAATAGTAAAAAAAAAATCCAATACCTGCTAGCATTTGACTATTCAGTAAATGTTAAAATGTGCAAGATACTTCATCTTCATGTTCTAAAACACTTTCTGTTCCCACTGGCATCATTTCCCCAACATATTATTTTTACTCTCTTTCTCTTAATAGAAAAAGGAATACAAACACAAACCTAGAGATGTACATAGGCAAAGTATAGGAGCTGATTAACTTAGCATCATTTTTCTATACTTCTGGATATTAAGATCTTTTAAAATTATTTTTTTTGGCAGATTAGGGAGGTCTGGCACTTGTAAGGAACCATTTTAACCACATCTCCAGTTCTGAATGTTCAGTATTGAAATCCTTCTCTATTCTTCCTTTTCTTATTTTGTAAAAATTCATATGCACGACAATTTTTTTTCCTGTATTATTAGAATGTAAACTCAGGGCCTCACACTTACTAGGCAAGCCTTTTTTTTTTTTCTCTCAAGGCTAGTGCTCTACTACTTGAGCCACAATGCCATTTCTGGCTTTCACTGTTTTTGTGGTGCTAAGGAATTGAACCTAGGGCTTCATGCATGCAAGCACTCTGCCACCAAGCAACATTCTCAGTCCCTGCTGTGTTTATTATGGAAAAAAGAAGCTACTGACATAGGAAAAGAATAATCTTGAAGAGACCCTGATTTAGTATGACTGATGAAGATCATCTTCTTCTTCTTCTCCTCCTCCTCCTCGTCCTTCTCTTCTTCCTACTCCTGCTCCTCCTCCTGCTCCTCTTCCTTCTTCTTTTTTTTTTGTCGGTCATGGGGCTTGAACTCTGGGCCTGGGCGCTGTCCTTCAGCTATTCAGCTCAAGGCTAGCGCTCTACCACTTGAGCCACAGCGCCACTTCCAGTTTTTCTGTGGTGGTGCTGAAGAATCGATCCCAGGGCCTTATGCATGCAAGGCAAGCACTCTACCACTGAGCCACATTCCTAGCCCCAGTACTATTATTTCTTTAATGCCTTTTTAAATTGATATGGTCTAGGGTAATGTCCTCTGAACTACCATAATATTTACTTTCTGTAACATATATGCAATTGAACATCTTTTCAGTTGCTCTGAAAAATTATTTTTCTCTCCCTAGTCTACCAGCAAATAATATTAATTCTTCTTTTAACATACAATCAGAATACAAGCACTTCTCAACTACATTTCACTGCATTTGTTTTGATTAAAGCCTTCAGGTTTGAGACAAAGACTCCTAATCTGTTCTCCCTGTTTTGGCCCTTGTCTTCCTTTCACCTACTTTAAATATAGCATCCAAAATGAACCCAAAAAACATAAGGCAGTGCTATCACTTTTTCTCTTTAACTGCTTCTGACTCAGTATAAAATCTAGTTCATTCAATAGCCTAATGGCTTTTATAACAGTCCTCATTATCTTTGTAATTTTCGAATTCTCTTCCTCTTCATGGCCTCTTTAATGTCTCTCAAAAACGCTTTCTACACTTGTAAGTTATTTTGCTCTAACTACCCCCTTTTTGCTTTTCTCAATTTTAGTAATTAGTAGTTTGCTTCAAATACTCCCTTCTGAATATGGCTACCTTTCATTGTATTATTTATTTTATTTTTTTGTATGCTAGTATTAGGGCTTGAGTTTGGCCTTTTGCTCTAGCTCACAGCTGTCACTCTATCACTTGGGGCCATGCCTCTAGTTCCCAGTGCATGAATTAAAATAATTTCCATTGTATAACTTAAAATCGTTTCTTATCCATATTTCTCTTCGCTGTCTTATTTGTATCTAGCATCTTATTTAGCATCTATCATCATCTATCATGGCTTGCCTATCTGCTTTCCTCCCCAAATAAATTGCAAGCTTTCTAGGCAAAAAATTGTCCCATTTACTGAACAGTCAAATGCTAGCAGGTATTGGAATTTTTTTACTACTCATATTTTCTGCTATATCCTCAGAATTTAGAGAAGTACTGACACATAGAGTATTCAAAAATATGAGCAGTTTATTAGGTGAATATATCCCAAGATTGTTTCTTAAAAGGTTTCAATGAAAAAAGAGTATGTAGTGTTTTTCAGGTTTCAAATACTATTATATTTCAACTACTTATTAGATTAAAATTCTATAAACCCGTGAATGAACAATGAACTTCAGAGAAGTTCATATTCATTATCCTCAATTTTTACTTACCAACAGCACATACAGCAAGGGAATCTGGATTACAATCTCGATTACTCTGAAATAAATTTCTTGATACTCTTTTTCTACTGAAACATACATCATCATTGACTGGCATTTCTTGAGAAAACTTTACTTTTGGAGATTGAATGTGATCATAGGCTGAAAACTGTGAGAACACAAGAATAAGTTAGCAAATGTGAGTTGTCTACTCAGAAATATGACAAAGTAATTTAGATCAAATTATGAAATTCAAATTAGAAGAAAAATTTCATCAAATAAACCATAATTCACAATATTCACATGTAATATACTAACAGTAGTTTTAATTCCAAGATAATGCTATTTTTTTCCTCTTTCTTCTATGCCTCAACTCTTTACGTTCCACCATCATATTATCTGGTAATTTCAAAGAGAAATCAAATGACAAAAAAGGTGAAATGACAACTTAAGCTGAAATGTCTTACTTAGAAAAATAACCCTCTAAACTAGATTGAAGATCAATTAAGAACCAAGTATTCCTCTCTAGGATTCTTTCTGAGGCAGATTTACTATCCATATTCTGCAGCCCAAATATAAATATAAATAGCCTGGTAACTTATGTTCCCATAAGAGATTCTCTCATAATAGGTCTCGTAGTTAATTAAATCAATTACATAGAGGCTAGAGGTATAGCAGTGTTAGCATATGTGAGGCCATGGTTCAATCCCTGGTACCAAACAGTGCCTAATAAGAATTAAATTCTCTCCACTGATTTCATAGTTATATACATTACCCTCAACTTCTTTTTGAAATACTATACATAATTGTAATTCAACTTTTATAATGGTCTTAAAGGGATTATAATAGTCTTATAATAATCTTAAAAAGGGAGTCTTACAATGCCACAAATTTTATAATGCTTAAGACATCAGTTTATAATTTCAGGCCCTTTGTAAACTGTAAAAATTTCAGATTATACAAAATTGAATTAGTAAACTCCTTATATCCTGAATAATTCATAATAAGGTAAAATACAGTGAACACCAAGTATATTTTAATAACTTAATAATTTAACCTTGCCTCTTATATTTGTATAAAAAGCCACCAAATGAACATGCTAAAGAATATATAAATACCTTTGGATGATGCTAATACATATGCTTGTTTTTGCTATTTCAATAATTATAAAAAGGACAAATCCTTTTCATAAATTTTATATAATTCCACAAAATGCATATTCATAGATAAAATATACTTTTGGTTTTCTCTGTGTCTTAGAGGAAACAAAGGTTAAGAGGAAACAATTGACAATTCTTTGTCAACTAAATTTTTTTTAAGAGTTTCATATCCATGTTGAATGTGGAATGATCCAAAACTGATGTTGCCATTGGTGAAGAATTCTGCACAATTGAAGTATGTTCTCTTTAACTATGACTGATAGAACTTCAAAGCGATATCTTGGTCCTTTTGTACTTTAAGGATTACATGGAGTCTGGGTAAGGTAATATATATTCCCTCTACCCTTCTACATTATGATCATTCACTAGGGCATTACCTCTCAAGGATTCTACAACTTTCCATAGCACCAATCTGGGGGTCAAGCCTTTAATCACCAAAGACATATAAGGACATATAAACAACAGCATATAGCTAACTCAAACTTAAACTTACCATGATCCCAATGCTTACCTTAACATTTCTCTTATTAATACCTATAACTTATCTACCATTTATACCTGAAAGGACTACCAAATAATAATCTTCAATTTCCTTGTTAGCCTATAAAATAACAGAACATAAATTTTCATTTGATCTACTTTTCTACCTTTTGAGTATTTAACTGCTACAATATAAATCCAGCTATCTTATTTTTCTCTATTAAAGATGATTCTCATGAATCAGCTTTCAAACTCTAATAGGAAGTAGAATATTTAAATTTTAAAAAAGAAAAAGAAAAAAAACCACAACCAACAACCTAGAATACTAAACTCTGGAAAATTGTCCTCAAAAACAAAGGACATTCTATGGAGAGAGATAATGTAGTTGAATTGTCAGGTATTTGCAAAGGAATGTCACGTTATGGGAAGCCATTTTGATTTTTAAATAATCTGTAAGCCTTAAATGAGTGACAGAAGTGGTAGCTTATTAGGATCCAGTTAGTGAACATAAGGATAAGATGTATTTGATGTATTTTCACTAAGTGGTTAACCTTAGTCAATACCTTTATCTTTCATTTTAAAGAAATAAACCACTTTTGGATCTGTATGGGACATTCTAGTATTAACCAAATAAGGTGAGATTAGTCGTACCTTGGGAAGGTCTACACAGGCTTACGATTATTCAAGTCCATTGATCGTGAGAAATGATGTTTGATGAAATAAAATGTGCGTGATAAGTGATGACTAGGGCAGAATGAATTTAGAAAAGAAAAAAAATGGAAGGTAGTGGTGACTAGACACCTAACAGATCCTGTTAAACTAAATACTTTAGTGTGTTGGTATAGGGATTTATGTTTAGTCTAATTTAGACTAATTAATCCATAACATATTTATAGTCTATAATTATGATGGCATTATTTTATCTGAAGGAAAGGTAGTAAATACAATAATAAATGCAAACCCTATTTTTTTCTCTAGTTAATGTACTAAATGATGGAAAATACATTTAAGGGCATTTGACTCAATGTAAAGAAAGTGCTGGGAGCTGGGAAGGTGGCTCAGTGGTGGAGTGTTTGCCTTGCATGCATGAGGCCCTGGGTTCAATTCCTCAGCACCACATAAACAGAAAAAGCCAGAAGTGGGCGCTGTGCTCAAGTGGTAGAGCACTAGCCTTGAACTAAGAGCTGAGGGTCAGTGCCCAGGTCCAGAGTTCAGGCCCCACAACTGAAGGGAAAAAAAAAAGTGCTAAAATTCTCATTTCATAAAGTTAAGGTAACAGTAATTGCTCTCTTTCCTTATGCTCTGTAAACAGGCAAGTCAACACCCCAAATTTTAAATATTTGAATCCTATATGAGACTATTTATAAATATGTTCTATATACGATTGTTTAGAATAAACACTATCATATTAAAAAAAAAACAAAGGACAAAAAGACATTCACAGACAGAAATTGAGGCCGGTAGGACCAATTTGTCAGTAAGATCTAATCGGCAAGAAATGTTAAAAGTCTTTCAGATAGAAAGAAAATTATACAGGTCAAGAAGAGGTTTGTGAACAAAGAAAGTATTTGAGAAGTGAGAAAAATAAAGGCTTCTTTTTTTTCTTTTTTTTTATCAGTTGTGGGCCTTGAATCTGGGCCTGGGCACTGTCCCTCAGCTCTTCAGCTCAAGGTTAGTGCTCTACCACTTGAGCCACAGCGCCACTTCCAGCTTTTTCTGTTTATATGGTGCTGAGGAATCAAACTCAGGGCCTCATGAATGCGAGGCAAGCATTCTACCACTGAGCCACCTTCCCAGCCCTTATTTTTTCTTAATTTTAATTAAGAATACTTCACAATAATAGCAACATAGTATTTGATTATGATTATGTATGCTTACTGGGGCTGGGAAGGTGGCTCAGTGGTAGAGCGCTTGCCTTGCATGCCTGAGGCCCTGGGTTCAATTCCTCAGCACCACATAAGCAAAAAGGAAAAAGCCGGAAGTGGCGCTGTGGCTCAAGTGGTAGAGTGCTAGTCTTGAGCTGAAGAGCTGAGGGACAGCGCCCAGGCCCAGAGTTCAGGCCCCACGACTGGACCCCCCCGCAAAAAAAAATAATGCTGGGCGCTGGTGGCTCACGCCTGTAATCCTAGCTACTCAGGAGGCTGAGATCTGAGGATCGCGTTCAAAGCCAGCCCGGGCAGGAGAGACCGTGAGACTCCTATCTCCAATAAACCACCAGAAAACCGGAAGTGGTGCTGTAGCTCAAGTGGTAGAGCGCTCGCCTTGAGCTGAAGAGCTGAGGGACAGCGTTCAGGCCCAGAGTTCAGGCCCCACAACCAACCAAAAAAAAAATGTATGCTTACTATGAGGGTATGTGTACATGTACATTGAAAACTCTAAGGTAACTTTAATTGATATGTTATAAAACAAAGAGAGTCTTACAAAAGTTCTCAAAAGCACTAAAGGCAAAAGAATTTTGAAGACAAAAATCAAAGAACATGAGCAACACAAACATGGTAGGTATTTATCAATAATCACTTTAAATTTAAATGTTTTAAAATACATGAGTTCAAAGGCAGACATTTTCAGAGTAAATATTAAAGAAAAGATAACTATATGTTGTCTATAGGAAACGTTAAAATGATATAGATTAAAAGTAATGATAAAGACAGGTGCTGGTGGCTCACACATATAATACTAGGTCTAAGGATCACCACTGAAAGCCAGCCTAAGCAGGAAGGTCCATGACACTCTCATCTCTAGCTAACCAGAAAAAAAGCCAGAATCAAGGCTGTGGCTCAAGTGGTAGAACACCAGTCTTGAGCGAAAAAGCTAAGGGATAAGGCCCAGACCCTGAGTGCAAACCCACTACTGGCACACATACACACACAAAAAGAAATAAACTTACAATTCCAACATATTGAAAGACTTACAATTCCAGCATAAACTAGTAGAGATACTATCAATATATTGGACATACTGACATTTATAGGTAACTTCCTTCAAAAATAGATTACATAATCTCAAACTCACATGGAACATTCACTAAGACACACTACCTTTGTCTAGATACTAACAAATTTTAAAGACCTGAAATGATACAATAACAGATCTCAAACCACAAAAGAATTAAGCTAGAAATCAAAAGGAGAGAGAGAACACTAGAAAATCCCCCAAATATTGGAGATTAGCAATACATTTGTAAATTATGCATGGGACAAAATAAATATCTCAAATGAAATTTCAAAACTAAGAACAGAAATCAGTGTAAATAGAAAATCAAGAAACATCAGGAAATAAGTTGTGGCTCAAGTATTAATAGCACCAGCTTTGAGTGAAAAAGCTAATAAGCAAGAGTGTAAAGCCCTGAGTTCAATCCCCAATGACAACAATAACAATAATAATGGGATTCTATAAGCAAATATATTTCAAAAATTTGGTAACTTGTATGAAATGGGCCAATTCCTTAAAACAGAATATAACAGCTCACACAGATACAATAAATTTGAGCATGTGTGAAGAAATCAAGTAAATAATCATCTTCCAAAACAGAAGTACCAGTTTTGGATGTATTTATTAGTGAATGCCTTTTTTTTTTTAGCAGTCCTGGAGCTTGAACTCAAGGCCTAGGCTGTACCTGAACTTTTTTGCTCAAGGCTAGCACTCTACCACTTGAAGCCATACCACTTCTGGTTTTATAGTGGTTAATTGGAGATAAGAGTCTCACGGATTTTCCTGCCTGGGTTGGCTTTGAACTACAAGTCTCAGATCTCAGACACCTAAGAGCTACAGTTAGAGGCATGAGACACTAGTACCCAGCTTCTACAGATCATTTCTGAGCAAGGAATTATGACTTGATTCCTGGTATGTTAAAATTTCACTATAGAATCTTTGAAATGTAAACTTTTTTTTTTCAGGTAAGGGGTAAGTTTATTAATCGTTCCGGCTGGCACCAGGCCATGTTGGCCCTCCAAGCGATGGGGAAAGGCCTGGGAAAGAGAGAGCTGGGAAAGAGCTAGGAAAGAGCTAGAAAGGCCTGATTCTTGCTTTGGCCAGTACCAGAATCTTCTTAATAATATACACACTGACATCTTAGACTTTATATATATTTTATATATAACAAACAGTCTTAAAGATCAGTCTTAAGGATCAGTATCTTAGTAATATACACATGGACATCTTAGACTTTATAACAATTAGTCTTAAGGATCAGTCTTAAGAATCAGAAAATCATCTATTACTTGGTTTACAATATATAACAATAATCAGATAACCAGATTATATACGAAAATTATTATTTTTTAAATACACATTCTGGGATTGGAAAGAAGCACTGAGAACACAGTTCACCACTACCTATATAGGTCTACTGCAAACAAATGCAAATTTATTACAAACAGATTATATAATGTTACAAAAATGGCATATGCATTCAGTAGAAAACATAGTTTGTGTGTTGATCTTGTTCCCTGCTAGCAATAATACTCTTTCACAATTCTGGGTTGTGGCAGTGGACTATAGCTCTCAGTTAGGTACAAAATCATGAGTGTGAATAATCATCAATATTATTTAACAGGTAGTTATTAGGTTATTGGGCTAGTACAGGATATGCCAGAAGTGGAACTATGGCTAAAGTAGTAGGGTTTTAGCAAAATAAGCTCAGGAACAGGAGTACCCTGTCCCTAAGTTCAAGCCCTAACACCAGCACCAAAAAGGAAGGGGGGGTGGGGTAGAGGATGTGACACTGGGAACTAGGGTTTCATTATGTGAGGAGGGAAATATAATAAAAGGTAAGAACTCTTTGTTCTGAATATGAATTGGAGGTATTAATGTGAACTCAATAAAAGAGGAGAGCAAAGAGCTCCCTCATTTTTCCATGAAAAGAGCCAATCTGCAATGGCAAGAAATAGCAATAAGCAAATTTATACCTAGATTTGATTTTAAACCAATAAAAGTACCAGATATAGCTGGGTAGGATACTGTGTATGTGTGTATACATATATATACATATATATATATATATATTCACATATGTATTTTTTTTTTGGTCGGTCATGGGGCTTGAACTCTGGGCCTGGGCAATGTCCCTCAGCTCTTCAGGTCAAGGCCAGTGCTCTACCACTTGAGCCATAGCGCTACTTCCAGTTTTCTGGTGGTTTATTGCAAATAAGAGTCTCATGGATTTTCCTGCCCAGGCTGGCTTTGAAACATGATCCTCAGATCTCAGCCTCCAGAGTAGCTAGGATTACAGCCACCAGCGCCTGGCACTATATTATATTTTAAGTCAAAGAGTGCTCAAAGATTTAAAAGTCATGCTTAAAACACAAAGAAGCCAGCAATTAGTCAAACAATTTTAGTATCATATAAATCAATTCTTATTATTAAAATTTAAGATGTATATAATTACAACAGAAGAAACAAAGTCTCAGGTAATAAATACTTAAGAATTTTATTATTTATTTATTTATTTATTTATTTTTGGTGGAGCTTGAAATCAGGGCCTGGCCATGGTTCCTGAGCACTTTTGCTCAAGGCCAGTACTCTACTACCACTTTGCACCACAGCTTTGCTTCTGGTTTTTGAGTGGTTAATTAGAGATAAGAGTCTCAAGGAGACTTTTATAACCAGGCTGTATTCAAACCGCTATTCTCAGATCTCAGCCTCCTGAGTAGCTAGAATTACAGGTGTGAACCACCAGTGCCCAGTATTTATTTATTTACCATTTTTATATCACTCAATTTAATAAATTGTACAATAATCCTTAATGAATGTTAAAAATAGTGAGTAAAGAGTTGTTGAGGTCTTTATAGGTTTCTACAGACCATGCGTTAGTTATAAAAAGTATGCCTTTACAATGAATCTAGTTCTCATTACCTTAATCAAATGATAAAATTAAACACCACTAAAATTGGGAACCTGGTATTTGTGTCATAATGTATTGTACTATAAAATTCACATTACGTACTGCCTATATCACATTTTCACTAAAAATATTTATTTTTACTCTATAAGAAAACAATCAGGTAAATTTCAAGATGTGAGACATTCTACAAACAATTACCATAGACTCTTGGGTTAAAAAAAGTGAATGTCAGGAAGAAGAAAAAAAAGAAGTAACATACACGGCTAGGGACATGATGCTACATTAAAACAAACAAACAAAAAACCCTATATGAACCATAACTGGATCCTAGAGGACACAGTAAAACAAAAACTTTATGACACTTAGGGGAAATTTTGAAAAATTTAAATGCAAGCTATCAGGTATTATTGAATTACTATTAATATTATAAGGCATGACAACAGTCACAAAGAAACTGTTATTCTTAGGGTACATATGTTAATATATTTACAAGTGAAATTCAATATATGTGCAATTACTACCAAATGGTTCAGCAAATATGGAGCAAAATGGCAAGATGTTAACATGTGGTAAATATAAACAAAGTATATGAGTACTTATTGTAGACTTAACTAAGCTAAATATTTGTAAAAATGTACACATACACACAAATATACACACACATACATGTGGCATGAGTCACTAGTGCCTGGCAACATTTGTAATTTTTAAAGCAAAAGCTTTGGCCAGGCACAGGTGGTACATGCCTGTAATCTTAGCTATTCAGGAGGCTAAGATAGCCCAGGCATTAAAGTCTGTGAGAATTTTTTTTTTCCTTTTTCTGGTCGTGGGGCCTGAACTCTGGGCCTGGGTGCTGTCCCTGAGCGCTTCAGCACAAGGCTAGTGCTCTATCACTTGAGCCACAGCACCATTTCTGGCTTTTTCTGCTTATATGGTGCTGAGGAATCGAACCCAGGGCCTCATGAATGCAAGGCAAGCACTCTACCACTGAGCCACCTTCCCATCCCCGAGTCTGTGAAATTTTATTTCCAATTAACCATCAAAAAGCCAGAAGTGGCTGAGCACTAGTGGCTCTTGCCTGTAATCCTGGTTATTCAGGAGGCTGCTGAGTTCTGAGGACTGCAGCTCCAAATCTCAATTCCCAGGCAGGAAAAGCCATGAAATGCTTCCAGATGTGGAGCTGTGGCACAAGAGGTAAAGTGCTAGCCTTGAGCAAAAAAGCTCAGGGACAGTCAGTACTCTCAAAGGTCTATTCTAGCACTTACCAAGTATGTCAACTGCTGGTTTATAGGTCTGTTCTTTTCCTTAAATAGTGTGGAACTAGTTTCAACTTCATTTCCAGAATTTAACTCCTATCTAGCACCTACTAGTTTCAGTGTTGATCGTATGAATTTGGTGAATGACACGCCAAAGTGATAAAGCAAGATCCAAATCCAGCAAAGTCCTTATTACATGGCGTCTCCAATTCTAATCAAGAAAGCTCTAAAATAGTCTTAAGTATCTTGTACCACAGATATCCTCTTCAGCATTTAACTTAAAATAACAACCTTCAGAAACAGCCTCATCTTTAAGTCATTATGAGCCTATTTTCATTTTAAATTCTTTCAGTCTTATTTCGAGAATATTAAAAAAGCATACCTGCTCTGTATCGTTGGAACTGGAAGTTTGGTTGTCTCCAACGACCCCATGTTGCTCATTTTCCCATGGTAATTTATTTTTTCCTTTTCCTGCACTTAATACCCGTCGGGTAAAGATAGTTGGACTATAAGAGCCATACATTTGCATATTGTCCCTCGTGTGGTCACCGCAGTGGCAGTGTGCACTCTGAGTTCTGTTACCAGACAAAAGCCAGTCTGTATCTGCTCCATGTGACAAATGGCTTGACCTCCCCTGAGCAGAAGATGGCATGAGTATTGCATACTCTACAAATCCTTGTTCTGTTAGCTTTGGTAGGGTTTTCCTAGCCAATCTGGCCTGCACAGCATTCATCACTCCATCTCCATTATCTTGCAATTCAACAGTATCTACAGCTTTAAAAAGGATGCTGGTTTTACTTGAGCCCATTGATGATGCCAACACTGCAAAAGCTTCTAGAGCTGCTTGGCGTACCCTGCGTTTGCTATCTACAAGAGCTGGGGCAAGAACAAAGGATAGTTTGGATAAGTCAAAATCCTCACTGGGATAAGTCAGGAGAGAGCAGATGCAAATGTTCACCACCTCCTCTCTTACTCTGGAATGCTTGTGTTTAAGATGTTCCAGCAGTAAACAAAGCACCTGTTGCGGACCTACTTCCTTCATTAGCTTGAGGAAGATCTTCATATATTCCTGTTTGATCACCAACTTGTTGTCTGCCAGCACTTTGACAGAAGCTGCTATAACTGGCCCCAAGAACTGTTGTACTTGTCCTCCAAGGCGAACCACCAGTAAATGCAGAACTTGAAGTGTGCCGTGGACCACTTTGAAGTTAGAGTCATCTAACAAATTATACAACAAGCTGATGAAACCAACAAGACTAGAATGAGGGGTAGAACTAGGGTTAAATTTTCCCAGCACCTGTTTTAGTTCTTCAACAGCCTGAGTCCGGTTCTTGTAGTCTTCCTGATCCAACAATCTTGCATGCAGCTCCTGCGGAATAATCCCAAATTTAAGATTGCTATTGGAGAGAGTCAACGCAGAGGGGGCAGGATCCTCAGGAAATCCGGCGGCTTCTAATTCCAAATAATAAGGAACTTGACTTCCAAACTGGGACTCCAGGCGGCGATTGTACTGTCTCCTCAGAGCAGATGGCAGCCGAGAAATATAGGATTGAAACCTTTCTTGTCCAAGTCGCTCCCCGATTTGTTGAAGTGCGGAGAAGGCGGTCTCAGATTCATCTTCTATCTCCTGACTGCCGAGCTTCCGGGCTAGAGAAATTACCACCTCGGTGAGATCCAAGCCCAGCAAAAAATCCTCAGGAGTCAGCAAGATAGGGAGGAGGAGTGCAGTAGAAACTCTAAGCCTGGCATCGCTACTTTCTAGACCTTGTTGTATAAGCGTGCTCAGCACCTGTGCAGAACTACGTTTCAGACAGACGTGTAGGATCTGCAGCGCATCTTTCCGCAGGGCTGGGATGTCTTCTCTCAAGGAGACGACCAGTTGAGGCAGAAGTGCTAAACTAAAGGCCTCCTCTAGCTGGCCGGCCTCCCCCTGACCCCGGAGAACGTCTGAGAGAAGTTGCAAGCAGAGTCGCTTCTCGTCACCACCTCCTTCCACCAGCACGCGGCCCAAGGCCCGATACAACGCTTCTTTGCGTCGGGGAAAGCCGAGTCGGCCGCCCCGCCGGGGCAAAGCAGCTTGCAGAGCCTGGAAGGCCTCGGAAGGTTCCGGTACCGTGCGCAAGAGTTGAAGGAGCCGGGTCTCCTCTTCGTCGCCCCCTGACAAACCACCGCCAGGTCCAGACCAGCTACTCGTGACGGGCTCCGCCGGCAACAAGAGGGTCGAGGCCAGAGTGGAAGGGGTCGAGGGGCAGGAACCGTGGTCCCCGGCAGCTCCGCGGCAGTAGAAGTGTTTCTCTCCTCTCATGATGCCCCTAGCTCGAGTACCATCAGTCTCTGGGACGGAAGGACGACTGAGGCTCTGGAGGGGACAGGCGAAGGGGGTGGGAAGGAGCGGCAGGAGCAGCAGCTCGGAAGAGGCGGCCGCCATGGAGGGTCCTCAGGTAGCGGTGGCTGGAGGGAACCATGGCCGTCTCCGAAAGGCGCTCAGTCTTCGTCTCCCAGCCTCGCAGTGCCTCTCCAGGTCGCACGTTGCAGAGGAGGAAAAGGAACAGCTTCAGTCAGCTGCCAGTCCGCCTCCGACTCTAGGAGGCAGCCTTTAGCAAAATGGCCCCTGCCTGAGCCCCAGACCCCACAGCAGCCACCGGGCGTCACCAAGAGCACCACGTGACCAAACTGATCGCTTCCATGGTGATGTACCCAGCGCGGGCCGATGAACCCGGAAATCAACCTCCCGAGGTGAATGCTGGGTCTTGTAGTCCACGTTGGCTGTTACGAACCGGCGGTGTCCTGGAAGAGGAAGTCAGAACGTTGGAACGTGTTTAGAATGGAAGGGGGGAGGGGTGGGGCTCCAGACACGAAGCGGAAATGACGTTTCCAGGCTCGGAGCGGAAGTTTCCCCCGCCCCGCCCGGCAGAGTTGAGGTTTGACCAGAGCGAGTGACAATTCTGTTTGGGCTCGGCTGGTCCAAGGCTCCTCCTCCTCCTCCTGTCGCCGCAGGTGTTATTCCTGGGACTCAGGTATTTTCCTTTAGCTGTCCTCCAGCGGCGCAGGCTTTGGCAGAGTTTTGCCCCGAGTGCCCCGGGAGCGCCAGTTGAGAGGTAAAGGAATGGACGGGAGCAAGCAGGGAGAGAGGCGACATCTCGTACCGGGCTCGTTGCCGTAGTGGAACGCGCGTTATTTCTGCCAGCGTAAAAGCGATCCTTTCCTCCTGCCCGCCGGCTGATCCGAACCGGAGGTCTGCACGAAGGCCACGCTCTGGTTTACACCCCACCCCCACCCCCTCAACTCCTGGTCTTTGGGGAGACTACCACCCCTCTTTCCTGGCCCTTGTCTCCTTTGGGTACTTAACTGGCTGCTGTGGAGGGTGAATGGTTTTCTGTCATTCGCTTTTGCTTACCCCCATCACTTTAAGCTCTCGTTGAAACATTCCTAATCCGGAGGTCAAGCGTGCTTTTCCCTGGAGCCTCGCGTTCGATTGCATCCTCGAAGGCTTCCCTTCTAAGGCAGTGCCCCTGTGGAACTCACCTGTCCCCCTCCCCCCCCACCGCCTCCCTCCACCAACCCAGCCTCCCAGCCGGAGCCTTTCGGTCTCCGGGAGACGGGGATTGCGATGATGATTATTTCTGTGGCGGTGCAAGTTCTTGGTATCACAGTCCCAGGAGATTTCCACCCTGAGGATTTCGAGAGGATAGTTCTTTGTTTAAGGGGAACTGAGAAAGTGATGGACGTTACGTCCTTCTCAATAAAAGTTAAGTGGCCCCACTTGAAGAGCTGAGGTTTCTTGTGTGAGACTGAATAGCTTTGGAGTGTGGAATCTATTCTGGTTGGTTGGTTGGTTTTGTTTTTTGAAAACAAGGGTGCACGTTGGCCTCAAACTCTCCATACCTTTCTATACTATTTCCTTGGGTCCCTGAGAGTTGTCATTGCAATCTTGCACCATCACAAAGACCTTGAAGAGATATTTTTAAAGGAATAATATGTTTACTTTTGCATGACACAGAAAAGTCTTGAGTTATAATTCCAAGTCTCAAATTCATACACTCAAAATGCAAATTTCTTGCCCCACTTTTTTTTTTTTACCAGGTGGGAATTCTCTCAAACACTTGTAAAATCTTGGAATAATCGAGTCAATTTATAAGAAATGTTCCAGGCTCATTCACGTTGAAATTTTATTTCTGGATTTTATCTGATAGCACAGTTGAATTTAGCAGGCTTGTTTTCTTTTGGGAAAAGTATTACTGTAAATGATGCTGCATAAGCATGCATGTTTTAGTTTAAATTCTAAGTGGTTTCTTTGTTAGTCATTCTGATGCATAAGTGAATTAGCCTAAATTTGGTTTAGTTAGATCAACAATTCTAAACTACCACTTCCCGTACACATTCTTTTCTATTGTCAAGGGGAAAGAATATTTGGTCCTTAACTTCCAACTGAGAACCTTAAATATATACTTTGCTCATGTATGGTTAGCCTTCAGAAGCCCAGTTCAAATGAAGGCAATAAGAGAATGATGTACACATTAGAATGCCAGTTTATGTTAAAGTAGAAGGTAACTCTTTCCAGTGACTAGAATTTTCAGATTGAAAAATTCAGTACCCTCTTTATGGTATCTGGCTTAGTAACTAGAAGTTGTGTGGTAATCAAATAAATTGAAAGTCTAGAATTATAGTTCAACATCAATTAGTATAGAAAATTAAGAATTACCTCTTCTCTTTATAAAGAATACATTGTACGCATGCACATGCACATGCCAGTCCTAGAGCTTGAACTCAGGGCCTGGGCACTGTCCCTGAGCTTCCTTTGCTCAAGGCTCAATCACTGAGTCACAACTTTTTCTGCCAGCTTTTTCTGAGTAGTTTGTTGGAAATAAGAGTCTCACAGACTTCAAACTATGATCCTGGGATCTCAACCTCCTGAGTAGCTAGGATTACAGGCATGAGCCACCAGTACCTAGCTACATTTTTTAATGCCAGTCTTGGACATGAACTCAGTACCTGGACACTGAGCTTTGGAGCCTTGGTGGCTCACACCTGGAATCCCAGCTACTAAAAGAGGCTGAGATCTGAGGATCATAGTTCAAAGCCAGACTGGGCAAGTAAGTCCATGAAACTCTTATCTCCAATTAACCACCAGAAAACTAGAAGTGGCTCTGTCTCAAGTGGTAGAGCACTAGCCTTGCGCTTAAGAGCTGAGGGACAGCGCCCAGGCCCAGAGTTCAAGCCCAATGATCACCACCACCAACAAAAAAGAATACTTTTAAAGGGACCAGAAAAGTAAGTCAAGTAATGGTCATGTCTTATTGCTGGGAGCAAAGGAAGATAAGACTTTTTTTTTTTTGACACTTCTTCTTGTCAGGCCTCATTTTTGATGACTTGGAAAATGCAATGGTTTTCATGGTATATATATAGGAAGTGAGATCATATCATGTAACTTTTCTGGTTACCTTGTAAAATATAACCCCATTTTTCTTTATTTTTCAGATAGGGTATGGAATTTGTTGCCCAGACTGGGCTTGAATCTTTTTCCTTTTTTTTTTTTCTTTTGTTTTGGTCAGTCATGGGGCTTGAACTCAGGGTCCAGGTGCTGTCCCTGACTGAGCTTTTTCGCGTAAGGTAAAACACTTTGAGCCACAGCTCCACTTCTGATTTTCTGGTGGTTATTGAGGATAAAAGTCTCATACCCTTTCCTACTTGAGCTGGCTTTGAATCATTATCTTCACATCTCAGCCTCCTGAGTAGCTGGGATCACTGGCATGGGCCATTAGTGCTTTGGTCTTGAATCTTGATCCACCGAATCTTAATTTTACTCTTAATCAAATTAAATTAATTAGGTTAGTAGAATACATTTAATTGCCTTATAATTAATAGAATATCTCAAAAAAGTTGAAAGAAGATAGTTAAGGATAAATGCTGAAAACTGCCTTTTTTTTGTAAGCTAAAACTTTCAGTACTTTTAAGTTCAGTTAACTAAATTAATACCTTAATGTTCTGATCTGAACTTAAGTTAGCTAAACACAGTTGTACTACGAACTTTTTATTTCCAGTCAGAGATAATAAATTTGTTAGATGAGTCACTGTAACTTTTTTGTGTTCTTACTCAAATATTTGATATCCAAGTATATTAGAATCAGTGTGAAATCTGTAAATTATTAAGAATTTAAAAAGTTGTTAAGAACCTCTGTGAAAATGAAAGGTGCTATTAATATTAGCAAGTAATTATAACAATTCCATTTAGTGTTATTGCTATTACTTATTATTTGCCATGTACTCTGCTAGGTACTTAATGAATATTAACTCATTTAATCCTCACAAGATTTGAACATTATGTAGATTATTTTTGTGTGTATGTGCCAGTCTTGGACCTGAGCTCAGGACCTGAGTACTGCCCTGAGCTTTTTGTGGTTAAAGCTTGTATTCTACCACTTGAGTCACAGCTCCACTTTTGGCCTTTTTTCTAGTTGAAGATCAGAGGTTCATAGACTTTCCTCCCAGGCTGGCTTTGAATTTTGATACTCAGATCTCAGCCTCTTGAGTAGCTAGGATTATAGGTGCTAGCCACTGGTGCCCAGCTACTATGCTTTTTTATAATATATATATATTTTAATTTATCTACTCTGAGATGAATTGAACAAAGGAAGAAAGTAAAATACCTATTCAGTTTCACTGTTTGCTTTTAGCTTTGGGTATGTTTGGTAGAAAAAAGAAAGAGTATTGAAGTTATAGGATAAATTAGAATTTTCTGTTATTCATACCTTTTATTATGCACTACTTCATTGTATATTTTAAATTTCTAATTATACGCTTAATAGATGGTTACTGTATTAGAACTTCAATAAATTTAACTTATGTAGGCTTTCTTTTATACCTGTAGAATTAAATGTTTTCTCAATATCAGTGATATACCTTCATCTACTTTGACTTTCACTGTGCATTTCTGATCTCAGCCAGAACTATAAACAAAAATCCAATTTTTATTGCCTGTTTAGCACCAATCTATATTAGTTAACAAGATTGCATGTCTGTTGCAACCAGCTTTTCAATGGGCAGGGATTAATTATGTAGCTTGAAGCTTTTATTGCATGTAGTGAGACCTTTGGGAACTTGCTTTCTGCTTTATTATCTGAATTTATGACATAATGATGCATATTAATGAAAGTCTTCTAATTTTACTTTTGTTTTGCCACATATGATGAAAATCAGTCTCAGAGAAAGGGACTCAGATTCACTGATGAAATTATATGCCATCATCAATTGAATTCTACTTGTAAGGAAAATGGACTAGGAGAGCAGTTAAAATATGTAATTTCATATTCCTCCTAACTTCATTTTGTACAGAAAAGTGTTTCTTTTGATATTTTTTTCAGGAACCATCATTCTCTTCACTATTATTTTCTGTGGTAGTGTCTCTATTTTTATGGTAATACTTAATTGCTCCTCAACTGATTTCAGCACCACTGCTTTGTACGGTAGGTGTCAATTAAGTACATAGATTCTGAACTTTCAGATAGACTTTTATTATCTTAGATTTAGGACTTAAAAAGTGTGAAGTCTTCGCTTAACATTGTATTGTGGATATTTATTAAAGAATATATAGATATTAGAATATTGTTGCATTGTTAAAACTTTTCAAATAAATACTGTTTCTTCAATATTGGCTAGTTTAATTACCTTGTTTTATTTTATTTTTTTATTTTTTTTGGGGGGGGGGTCAGGTCGTGAGGCCTGAACTGTGGGCCTGGGCACTGTCCCTCAGCTCTTCAGCTCAAGGCTAACGCTCTACCTTGAGCCACAGTGCCACTTCCGGCTTTTTTCTTTTTGCTTATGTGGTGCTGAGGAATGGAACCCAGGGCCTCATGCATGCAAGGCAAGCACTCTACCATTGAGCCACGTTCCCAGCCCCAATTACCTTGTTTTATAATACCAAAATTAGAAAGAAAAAATGACAAGTATGTGAGAAATCCTAGATAGCAAATCTGATATACAGGTAACAGAAGGGAATGATTATTCATGGATCTTTGTTTATTTCACTTTAAAGCCCTGATGTATTTTGGTATCAAATCTGTGTCTTTATTTGTATGTACATGCATGTATACCTTTGATCTACTCAGAAAATCTTAAGTTCTAAGCTGCTTGCTTGCTGCCACTTATAATGCCTCCAATATCATGATTTACCTTTTTTAGCCTTCTATTTGTTACTTTTTATTTTATTTTATTTTTTGTTAGTTATTTTTATTGCAAAGATACTGTACAGAGGGGTTACAGTTGCATTAGTAAGGTAATGAGTCCATTTCCTATCGAGCATTGTTACCCCTCCTTTGTTTTTCTCCTACTATCCCTTCCCTACCCAAACTCCTCCCCCCACCCCAAAGTTGTAAAGTTCATTTTCAACATTGTGTCTTGTACTACTTGTTACATTTTAATTTCTTTGTTTAGTTAAAAATTGTAATAAGTTTAAAAAATTAAGAACTTATTTAATAAGACTATAACATAGCACTGAAAATTTTGGAAACAATACTGTGGTTTAAAATTTGATTTGAGTGAATAGTCTGTTCCTTAAATTTCTTTATTTCTAAAAGTAGTATCTCATATTGTTGCTCTGAGAATGAAAGCAATTAATGCATGTAAAACTTAGAACAGATGGGAAGGGATGGGAAGGGGAAACAAAGGAGGAGGCTACAATGCTTGATAAGAAGTGTACTCATTATCTTGCCCATGTAATTGTAACCCCTCTGTACAGTATTTTCACAACCAAACACTATTCACTATTGTGAATAGTGAGGCAATGAACATGGATGTGCAGGTGTCCTTATCATATCCTGGCTCATAATGCCCAGGGTAGATGCCAAGGAATGATTTGGTTGGATCATAGGGGAGATCCATCTTTAATTTTTTGAGGAACCTCCAGACTGCTTTCCAGAGTGGTTGTACTAGTTTACATTCCCAACAGCAGTACTACAGGCTTCCTTCCCCTCATATCCCCACCAGCATTTGTGGTTAGAATTCAAAATGTTGGCCTATCTAACTGTAGTAAGATGGTATCTCAGGGTTGTTTTGATTTGAAATTACTTTATGGCCAGGAATGATAATCATTTCCTCATGTATTTCTTTGCCATTGTTCCCTTTTCTTCTGAGAAGTCTCTCCTTGCCCATTTAGAAATTGGTGTATTAAGTTTGGGAGGGGTTAGTTTCTTGAGATCTGTGTATATATTGGATATTAGCCTTTTTCTTATGTATTGCTGGTAAAGGTCTTTTCCCAATTGGTTGGCTGATACTTTAGTAGTTTAGTAGCTATGTCCTTAGCTATGCAGAAACTTTTTATATTAATGTAGTCCCACTTGTCATATCCCTCTCCTATCTGTTGTGCCCCTGGGACTCTAATCAGGAAGTTCCTGTAAGTTCTAATATCTCTCCTACTCTCTCTTGCAGTAGTTTCAGAGTTTGAGGTCTGATGTTGAGGTCTTTGATCTATTTTGAGTTGATGTTAGTGGATGGTGACAAGCAGGGATCCACTTTAAATTTTCTGCATATGGCTGCCCATTTTTCTCAGCACCAGTTTTTGAAGAGGCTCTGTTTTTTCTACTGTATGTCCTTTGCTCCTTTGTCAAATATCAGATGACTCTAAGTATGTGGTTTTATTTCTGGGTTTTCTAATGTGTTTCATTGGCCTTCAAGTCTATTGTTGTGCCAATACCAAGCTCTTTTTGTTATTATGGCTCTGTAGTAGAGTTTGAAATTTGGTATTGTAATACTGCCCACATTGTTTTTTTTTGCCTAGAATTGCTTTGGCTAGTCTAGGTCTTTTGTTCTAGGTCTTTTGTTGTTCCATATGAATTTTTGGATTGTTTTCTTTCAGTAAAGAATGTCATTGGGATGTGATAGGGATTGCACTGAATTTATGTTATTTTTTGCAGTATAACCATTTTCACTATTGATTCTACCTATCCATGAACATGGAAAATCTTTGCATTTCTTAGTGTCCTCTTTGATTTCTTCTTCAGATTTTTATAGTTTTTGTTATAGAGATGTTTTATATCTTTGGTTAGGTTGGTTCCTAGGTTATTTTGTTTGTTTGTTTGATTGCTTATTTTGAGGCTATTGCTAATGGGGTTGTTTTCATGATTTCCCTTTCTTCTTGTGCATTATTGGCATATAGGACAGCTACTGGCCAGGCGCCAGAGGCTCATGCTTGTAATCCTAGCTACTCAGGAGGCTTGAGATTTGAAGATCAAGGTTCAAAGCCAGACCAGGCAGGAAAGTCTGTGAGACTATTATTTCCAATTATCCACCAGAAAACTGAAAGTGGTGCTGTGGCTCAACTGGTTGAGAGCTCACCTTGAGCTGGACAGCTCAGGGACAGCATTCAAGCCTGGAGTTCAAGCCCCATGACCGACAAAACAAAACAAAACAAAAAAACAGAAGGACTACTGATTTTTTTTTGGGGGGGGGGTGTTAATTTTGTATCCTGCTACTTCGCCAAAGTGGTTGATTAGCTACAGGAGTTTTGGGGTGGAGAATTTTAGGTACTTTATGTATAAGATCATGTCATCTACAAATAGGGATAGTTTAGTTTTTTCTTTCCCTATGTGAATCCCTTTAATATCCTTTTCTTGCCTTATTGCTCTGGCTAAGAATTCCAAAACTATAGTGAAGAGGAGTGGAGAGAGTGGGCATCCTTGCCTTGTTCCTGATTTTAGTGGAAATGGTTTTAGTTTTTCCCCATTTAGTATGATATTGGCTGTTCGTCATATGTAGTCATTATTGTTTTAAGGAATATTCCTTCTATTCCATTTTCTCCAAAGCTTTTAACATGAATTGATGTTGTATTTTGTCAAAGGCCTTTTCTGTATCTTTTGAGATAATCATGTGGTTCTTGACCTTGGATCTGTTGATGTGATGAATTACTTTTATTGACTTATATATGTTAAACCATCCCTGCATCTATGGGATGAAGCATACTTGGTCATAATGTATGATTTTTTTGTATTTGTTTCTGGATTCTGTTGACTAATATTTTATTGAAGAGCTTTGATTCTGTGTTCATCAGAGAGATTAGTCTGTAGTTCTCTTTTTTTGTTGGATCCTTACCTGGTTTGGGATGAATGTGATATTGTCTTCATAGAATGAGTTTGGGATTGCTCCCTCTGCTTCTATTTTATGGAAAAGCTTGAGCAATATTGGTATTGGTTCATCTTTAAAAGTCTTATAGAATTCAGAAGTGAATCCATTTGGACCTTGGGTTTTCCTTGTTGGGAGACCTCTGATTACTTACTTCAACTTTTTGCATGTTATTGGTTTAGCTGGTCTATATCTTCTTGGTTCATTTTAGGCAGTTTGTATATTTCTAAAAATTTATCCATTTCTGCTAGGTTTTGTTCTTTAATGAGTACAGGTTTTGTAAATAGCCCTTTATAATCACTTGGATTTCCTGGATGTTTGTTGTAATATTTTTGGTGGCATCTCTGTGTCTTGATTTGAATTTCCTCTCTTCTTTTTTTCATTAACCTCACAAGTGGTCTGTCAATTTTTTCAAAAAACCAGACTTTTGTTTGATTGATTTTTGTTTGTGGTGGTGGTTATGGGGCCTGAACTCTGAGCCTGGGCGCTGTCCCTCAGCTATTCAGCTCAAGGCTACACTCTACCACTTGAGCCATAGCACCATTCTGTTTTTTCTGCTTATGTGGTGCTGAGGAATCGAACCCAGGGTCTCATGCAGACAAGCACTCTACCACTGAGCCACCTTCCCAGCCCATTTCATTGATTTTATGTATATATTTTTAGTATTGATTTTATGTATATATTTTGTTGATTTCTGCCCTAATCTTTGTTCTTTCTCACCATCTATTAGTTTTAGCTTTGAATTTTTTCTAGAGGTTTTAATTACATTATACAGTTATACTTCAGCTGTTTCTGTTTTCTTTTATGTGTGCACTTAGGGCTATTAACTTTCTTCTCAACACTGATTTTGCTGCACCCAGAGGTTCCATTGTGATGTGTTTTCATTTTCATTGAATTGTGAGAACTTTCTAATTTCTTCTTTAATTTATTCTTTGACCTAGGTGTTTCAGTAGTGTGTTATTCAGCACCATGTAGTGGAGTGATTTCTGCAGTGTGTGGTGTTGTTGAGAACTAGCTTGATTCTACTGTGATCAGAGAGGATGCAAAGGATTATTGCCAATCCTCTTGCTTAGGTTCTTTGTGTGTACTATGATGTGATCTGTTTTGGAGAATGTTCCATGGGCTGCTGAGATCACTGATTTTGCTATAGTTACTGAATTGACAGCAATGATACTTTTGTTTGTTAAATTATTGAATTTTGGCAGAAGAGTATGAGTAGATGTAATTTCTTTCCAATTGATATTACTGATATGGTTATTGAAGAAATTGTCAATTAGCTAGTATTGTTTCAAAACTAATTTTGCTTTAATACATTTTCTTCCCACATTTGCATTTTGCTCCAGTGATAGCTTAGATTTGGCATTTTTGAAGGTAAACAGAATGATAGATTTGACAGTTTTAATCAGTAAGTCTATGCTCCAGAGACCTTTATTGTTTAGAGTTTATCATGTAAGATTTGGGGCTTCCATTTGCTAATATCTGTCACAGTAGAGGTGAATTAGATGAAAATTAAATTGCCTTCAATTTTTTTTTGCTCTACAATTTAGAAGTTAGAAACCAACACACAGAAAGCAAATAATAAATCTAATAAATCTGAATACTATTTGAAATATAATCAGCTTGGCATGATTACTTTGAAATAACTTTCTGTACTTTTTGGTTTTTTTTGTAGATGGACCACACATCCCCAACCTACATGCTTGCTAACTTAACCCACTTGCATTCTGAACAACTTCTGCAAGGATTAAACCTTCTTCGTCAACATCACGAACTGTGTGACATCATTCTTCGTGTAGGGGATGTTAAAATTCATGCACACAAAGTGGTACTTGCCAGCATTAGCCCATATTTCAAAGCTATGTTCACTGGAAATCTTTCTGAAAAAGAGAACAGTGAGGTTGAGTTTCAGTGCATTGATGAAACTGCTCTTCAGGCCATTGTAGAATATGCCTATACAGGAACTGTTTTCATTTCTCAGGACACAGTTGAAACTCTCCTTCCAGCAGCAAACCTACTTCAGATAAAGCTGGTCCTGAAAGAGTGTTGCGCATTTCTTGAAAGCCAACTTGATCCTGGTAATTGTATTGGAATTTCTCGTTTTGCAGAGACATATGGTTGTCATGACCTTTATTTGGCAGCCACTAAATACATATGCCAGAATTTTGAAGCTGTTTGCCAGACAGAAGAGTTTTTTGAACTTACACATGCTGATTTGGATGAAATTGTCTCCAACGACTGTTTGAATGTAGCTACAGAGGAGACTGTTTTTTATGCATTAGAATCTTGGATCAAATATGATGTACAAGAACGCCAGAAGTACCTAGCACAGCTACTGAACAGTGTACGATTACCATTATTGAGTGTTAAATTTCTCACTAGGCTATATGAAGCAAATCATCTTATTCGGGATGATCGTGCTTGTAAACATCTTTTGAATGAAGCCCTAAAGTACCACTTCATGCCTGAACATAGACTCTCTCATCAGACAGTCTTGATGACACGACCGCGCTGTGCTCCCAAAGTACTTTGTGCAGTAGGAGGGAAATCTGGACTCTTTGCCTGTTTGGATAGGTAAATAGAAGGTTTTCTTAAAGGAGTGATGTTATTAGATTTTATGCTTTTTAAATGTGCTTATGTTCAGTATTTTTAAAAAATTTACTTTCCTTTGTTTTCGTTATTGCTTCTTTTTGTTGTTTTTTCTTCTTAAAATCCATCATTGTATTAATCACATTGTTATCCATTTTCTTCAAAACTCAGTTACTAACATTTATACCCACCAGAGCATTCTCATTTATCTATATTATCTACTTACTTCCTTTTTTTTCTGAAACCAACTACATCTTCATTGGAACAAACCAGGCTGGAGGGGATATTTATTCTTGTCAACTGTATAAGAAAATGCTAAAGAAGAGAACTAGGAACCCGGGATGAGGGTAGACTGAGGACAGGTATGGGTTTGAAAAAAAGCAATTAATTAGAAGAATCATCAAAGAAATAAAAAACAGGATATTGCTGTAAATTGTGGGCTTTATGTGCAATTCATTTTTTTTCTATGTGTTTTTTTTTTTTTTTTTGGGTCCCGTCGTGGGGCCTGAACTCTGGGCCTGGGCACTGTCCCTCAGCTCTTCAGCTCAAGGCTAGCACTCTACCACTTGAGCCATAGTCCCACTTCCGGCTTTTTTCTTTTTGCTTATGTGGTGCTGAGGAATCAAACCCAGGGCCTCAGGCATGCAAGGCAAGCGCTCTACCACCTATGTGTTTTCTTTAAGAAATGGCTTAGATGTCTTTCTCCCCAGTAAGAAGGAATAGGAAAGAAAAAGATTAATTAGTGAATTAATTTCATGAGGTCAGCCAGGACAATTTTAGCGATAAGAAAACCCTGAGCAAATAGTTAGAAAATAAAGGAATTTAAATCTGTCAACACAAAAAGGAATAAAACCAACAGTGTAAAATACATAGAAAGGTAGACCATTCTTTTTTTTTTTTTTTTGGTAGACCATTCTTAGATATTTCATCGGCACCTTAATGTCTAAAACTAAACACATTATTTTCTCCCTTAAAGTGGTTCCTCACCTTGTATTCTCCTAGTATATAATCATCTAAACAATTATTTAATGAAGAAATAGCATTCATCTTTGAAAGATTTCTCTCTTCCTATCACATTCCTTTTTTGTATTTATCTAAGTACCAAATCCTGTCAGTATACTCTCTTAAAGCATTTCTAATTTTATGATGCATTTTCTCTCTTTAGTACTTCTATTCTTAACTTACCTGTACTTCTAAACCTCACATCACTTGGATGCTAATCTTGAGCTTTCAATCTTCTTCTATAAGGAAAAATCTTTTGCATGTTATTCTAAAATATAAATCTGGTCGTTTTACTACCCTCTTTGAAATAGTTTTTTAATATACATAAATTTTTTATCATGGTGTACAATAACGTCTTTGATTTGGCTCATGTTGAGTATTCATTGCTTGATTTGTTATATCAGAGATATAAAGATGAAAACAGCTATTCTCCTTTGGCAATGTGAACATCATTAATGACTTTTTTATCTAATAATTCAGAATGAGTTAATTAAGCTTTGGTACTGTTGGAGATAGATGAGTGTATTTTGCATGTGTGAATAGGACATAAACATTTGGAGACCAGGGAGACAATAGTATTGTCTCCCCTAAGCATTCATGTTTTCAAGTTTAATCCATACTATTTGGTAATAAGAGGTTGAAACTTAACCTACCCATGGTATTTAAATGTAGAACCTTTGGGAAGTGATTCGAATTAAAATCACATGGGTAAAATCCTCTGACTGAATACTGGTAGCTTATGCCTATAATACTAGCTACTCAAGAGGCTAAGATCTGAGGATCAAGGTTATAAGCCAGCTATGGCAAACAAATTTGAGAGACTATTATTGCCAGTTAATTGGCAAAAAAAAAAAAGTGGAGTTGTGGCTCGACTGATAAGAGTACCAGCCTTGAGTGAAAAAGCTGAGGAAGAGCTCAAGATCCTGAGTTCAAGCCTCAGTACCAGCACACACACACACACACACACACACACACACAGAAAAGAGAGTACCCACACATCATACTCACACACATATACTTAGCATACTCCCTGCCTCTTACTATGAGTTGTCCTGAACTTACTCTTCAGGCAAGAAGGCTTTCAAAAGCATGAATCCTCCAACCATGGACTATAACAATCAGCCAAAAGTATCCTCTTCTCTATAATTCATGAAGTCTGTGGAATTGGTGTCATTAATAATAGAAAACAGACTACAACAACCCAATAGACTACTACTGGCAATACTTTTGAAGTTCTTATGCCCTTCCCTGCTGCCATCTCTGATATTGCATGAGAAAGTAATTTGTTTATTTGCACTGGCACAATATTATGATCTAGTATATGGACATAATATAATCTTTCTTCCTAAATGGGAATTTTAAGTATTAAACTCATATACATGCAAATAAGTGTACAAATCCCCTGTCTGTAGCTCAACAAATTGAACATTGCAAATTAGTTCAATCCACAGAGTATGACCAGCACCAGAAGCCAGCTTGAACTGTTTTCCCAACCCAACGGTAATCACTATCTGCTTTCCGATCCAGAAATGTGTTTTACATGCTTTTGAATATATTGAATATATTGCTTTCAAATATATTCTTTTGAATTTGGTATCTTTCAGTGTTACACATGTAAGATTCACCTCAGGAAAATGCAGCTGTAGTTCATTGATTTTTTTCATTACTATATAATATTTTTGTATAACATCACAATTTATCCATTTTATGGTATATATGTATTTAGATTGCTTTCTATTTTTTGCTATTAGACATAATATTGCTATGAACATCTTTGTACATATACACATGTATATGTGTTTCTTCAGTATATATCTAAGAGTGGAATTGTTCAGCCATAGGACAGATATACTATGCCTTATTTAACTATTCCTTTTGATGGATTTTTGTGTTATAATTTAATTAAAATTTGTATATGTGTTTCCTAATGAAAAATTTAGTAGAAGTTAGATTAGGAATACAGGAATGAAGGTATACCTATGTGTTTGACTTTATTAGCTAATGTATCAATGTTTGCTAAGGTAATTTGTACCAACTGATAACTTGGAGTACCCATTCCTTGCTCCACATTGTTTCCAACAGTTTTTATTATCTAACTTTAAATTTGTGCCAGTTTGGATTATGTGTCATAGTGAGTTTAATTTTGCATGTCCCTTATTACTGAGAGTCAACATTTTTTATGAGCCATTTCGGCTTTGTAATTTTAATTTTTTCTGCTTATTCTTTAGTGTGGAGATGTATTTTCCTCAAAATGACTCTTGGATTGGTTTGGCACCCCTAAACATTCCTCGCTATGAGTTTGGAATATGTGTTTTAGACCAAAAGGTGTATGTTATAGGTGGTATTGAAACAAATGCGCGTTCTGGCGTCACTATCAGAAAACATGAAAATTCAGTAGAATGTTGGAATCCTGATACGAATACCTGGACTTCACTAGAGAGTATGAATGAGAGCCGAAGTACTCTTGGAGTAGTAGTACTTGCAGGAGAACTTTATGCTTTAGGTGGATATGATGGACAGTCTTATTTACAATCTGTAGAAAAATATATTCCCAAATTAAGAAAATGGCAACCTGTGGCACCAATGACTACGACAAGAAGTTGTTTTGCGGCAGCTGTTTTGGATGGAATGATATATGCCATTGGTGGGTATGGTCCTGCTCACATGAACAGGTATTTAATCACATTGTGTCTCAGATTTTTAAAGGCATTATTGACAAGTATTTCTTAACAATTTATGAGCTTCCTCTTTAATATTTTCAAGTAAGATTGATTGTGTATACAGGATTTTCTTATATGCCTACGATTCAAATCCCTCCTGTTAAATCTCACATTCACTCAATAAATTTAAATAGATTGTTTTAAAACTCAGATACCTAAAAATTAAGAAATAGACCATTTTAGATTTATGCATTTATATGTGTTTATTTGGCTTTGTATTCATTTCTTGTTAAAGAAATAATTTTAATTCCTGTATTGCAATATAATGCATCATAAATTTAAATTCTTATTTAAATACTCCTTTCTGGATTCTCTGAACATATATGAATTGTCATATATCTGGGTGGTCCTAAAAATCAGAAACATAAAGATCCCTGTACTCTGTAATATATCCTCCGAATAAATAGTATATGTGAAGCTGAGCACTGGTGGCTCATGCCTGTAATCCCAGCTACCCAGGAGTGTGAGATCTGAGAATCACAATTTGAAGCCAGCCTTGGTAGTAAAGTCTGTGAGACTCTGATGTCCAGTTAACTATCAAAAAGCTAGAAATGTAGCTGTGACTCAAATCTAGAGTTGCCAGGCATGAGTGAAAAAGCTAAGAGACAGCCAGTTGGAGTCATGGGACTTATCACCAAAAACAAAGTAGATGTGAGAAAATAAAAGTTTAAAGTTACTGCTTCATAGATAACTATTCATAATTCTGAATCCTCATTGAAAAATGATATTCTGAAGATTTTTATCTCTAATAGTAATTGTAATTGGAGAGGTAGGTGTTTTACTGATTGTGAGCAATTTTTTTTTTTTTTTGCCAGTCCTGGGGCTTGAACTCAGGACCTGGGTGCTGAACCTGAGCTTCTTTTGCTCAGGGCTAGTACTCTACCACTTGAGCCACAGTGCTACTTCTGGCTTTTTCTGTGTATGTGATACTGACGAATTGAACCCTGGGCTTCATGCATGCTAGGCACGCATTCTACCACTAAGCCTCATTCCTAGCCCTGAGGGTGAGCATTTTAATAGTAGACTCTTATGGTTATATGTAACTACTGTGCTATTTCATATAAAGGATGTGTGCATATATGGGGGAATCCCAAAATCAGGAACCCACACACACACACTTGGATACCTAGAATGACTCATAAAAGAATAGCATACTACTTACTATTGCACCCTATCCACAAGGTAAACTTTTATCCCGAACCCTTATCTAGACTACGTGGAAGAAATTACTTGTGTTTTATATCTCTTTATTTGAACTTTCAACTGGTGGGTTTGAGTTTTGCTTTGGAAGGGAGAGTGACACAAAGATCTTGAACTAATTCTTTTTTCATGAATATTTGCAGTGTGGAGCGTTACGATCCAAGTAAGGATTCTTGGGAGATGGTTGCATCCATGGCAGATAAAAGGATTCACTTTGGCGTGGGAGTCATGCTAGGCTTTATTTTTGTGGTGGGCGGACATAATGGTGTCTCACATTTGTCAAGCATTGAAAGATATGACCCTCATCAAAATCAGTGGACTGTGTGTAGAAGAATGAAAGAACCCAGAACAGGTAATATTTATTAGTTTGTTCATTTATTTGTTTTGCAGTACTGTAAATTAAACCCAGATCCTTGTACATTTATAGGCTGTGCACACTAAGCTGCCTTCCCAGCCCATAATAATTTATCAATTTCTTAACAAATAGGGCAGTGTTTGCTATAGTGCTACTTTTGGAATAGTACTATCTTTAAATGTAACAGTAAAGATATTATTTGTTCAGAGAAGAATAACTTTTTTGTTGTAAACTTGAAAGACAACTAGGTAGAAAAACCATTTCAGTTTACTTAATGTGCCATTGTTTATTGTATGATTTTACAAATTTAGGAAATGAATTTTGGGAAATGTTGTTTTTTTACCTAGAACCTTTTTTTGTCCATATAACACTTCATCATTTTATGTTTTATATTAACATACTAATTATACAGAATGAGTTTCATGACATTTATACATGCATATAATATATCTTGATTATATTTACCCCTTTCCTCTTCTTTTGTTCTCCTTTCCTCTCCCACCGATCCTCTTCCTACACTTTCTACTTTCTTTCTTTCTTTTTTTTTTTGTCAGTCATGGGGTCTGAACTCTGGGCCTGGGCGCTGTCCCTCAGCTCTTCAGCTCAAGGCTAGTGCTCTACCACTTGAGCCATAGCACCACTTCCAGCTTTTTCTGCTTATATGGTCTGAGGAATCGAACCTAGGGCCTCATGCATGCAAAGCAAGCACTCTACTACTAAGCCACCTTCCCAGCCCTCTTTCTACCTTCATGTGTAGGTTTTACCTCATATATGTGGAGCTCTGTCATGAGACAGCATGTAGTATTTATCTTTCTTAGTCTAGATTATTTTGTACATGATCGCCAGAGTCACTGATTTTCCTGAAAATGAGATAATCTCATTCTTCTTATTGGCCGAACTTAATAAATATATATGTATGTGTATATGTACACACATTCATAAATACATATATGTGTGTGTTTATATGCATGTATATCTTTATCATCCACTGATGAGGACTTAGGATAATACTATACTTAGCTATTGTGAATACTGCCACAATAAACGTGAGTGTTCAGGTACATTGATTCTTTTGGGCATATACACAGTAGTGGCAAAGGAGTTCATAATGGCAGCCCTATTTATTTTCAGGAACTTCAGTATTAGTTTCCATAGTGGCCACAATAATTTCCATCCAACCCAGAGTATCCCTGCATCCTTGTCAGCATTTGTTGTTTTTGTTCTTGATGATAACCATTCTGATGAGTGGAATGAAATCTCTGATTTTCAATTTTTTGGGATCCTTTGGATCCTCTGAGACTCTTAGTATATCTGTTGTAATATCCTCCACCCCTTTTAAAAATGTTATTTTCCCCTTTAGCTAAGGATTTGCCGTCTTGTTTATTTTTTTCAAAGATCCAACTCATTGAATAATAATTTGTATTGGTCTTTAGTCTCCATTTTACTAATTCTGCCTGACCTTTGGAGATTTGTTCTTTTTTCTAAGATCTGAGATGCATCATATAGGGTTTTGTTAGTTTTATATCTCTCTAGCTTTTTAATGCAGGTGCTCATAGCCATAAACTTCCCTTTTAGAACTCCTTTACTATATCACAAAGGTTTTTATTGTGGTTTTGTTTGACTCTAGGAAATTTTAATTTTCTTCCTGACCAGACTAACCAAACCAAAAGTGTATTTATTATTCATGCTCCATATAGTTGCTCCATGTAGCTTACCTTGCTATTAATTTCTAATTTTATTGCATTATGATCTGTTTGGATAAATTATTCCAACTGTTTTATATTTGCTAAGATTTGCTTTATGGCCTAAAATGTGATCTAGTTCAGAAAGATCTATGGATTGCTGGAAACAATGTTTATTCTTTATGTGTCAGATAGGATATTCATTAGATATTTAAGTCCACAAAATCTATGGTGAAGTTTAATTCCAAAGTTTCTTTATTAATAGTTTTTGCCTGATGATTTTGCTTTTAAAGAAAGTAGGATATTGAAGTTACTATTAGTGTACCTGTGTACCTGGACCTGTGTGTTTCTTCATGTCCAGTAATGTTTGTGTTTTGAAATTGTGTAAAACAATATTCAGTACACTTATTTACACTAATTACATCTGTTTTTGGGGGGAAAGGGAGTCCTGTGCTTGAACTCAGGACTTGTCCCAAGCACTGTGCTCGAGGCTAGTGCTAGGATTATAGGTGCCCAGCTTAGTTACATCTTTTTAATAGATTATTCTCATTACTAATATGTAGTGACACTATCTCTTTTGACAAGCCCACTTTGTTGGATAAGAGTATGGCCATGAGCTAGGTGGCTCACTCCTGTAATTCTAGCTACTCAGGAAGCTGAGATCTGAGGAGTGCAGATCAAAGCTAGTCCAGGCAGAAGAGTTCATGAGGGACACTTACCTCCAATTAACTAGCAAGAAACTGGAAGTGGCAGTGTGTTTCAAGTGGTAGAGCAAACAGTCTTGAATAGAAAAAGCCAAGTCAGAGCTAATGCTAGTGCGCGCGTGCGCACACACAGACAGACACACACACACATACACACACACACACACACACACACACACACACACAAACACAGTGTAGCTATGAAAAGCTATGAAATAAATTAATAGAAAAGTCCAGAGAGAATTGTGGCGTATGAAGCTTGCAAATGGCAAGATAAGGTGATAACCAAAACTTGTCTGACAAGGAAATGGGGGCAAAAGTCTACTAAGAATGAAGTAAAAAAGGCAAGAATGAGGAAATAACATGGGACAGTACATCTTTTTTTTCCTTTTTTTGCCAATCCTGGGGTTGGCAAAGAAGAACTCAGGGCCTAGTCGCTGTTCCTGAGTCTGTTTGTGCCCAAGGCTCTGCTCTACCACTTGAGCCACAGTGCCACTTCCAGCTTTTTCTGAGTCTGAGATAAAAGTCTCATGGTCTTTCCTGCCCAGGCTGGCTTCAAACAATGATCCTCAGATCTCTGCCTCCTTAAGTAGGTAGGATTTCAGGCATGAGCCAAAGGTACCTGGCTGAGGGACAGTAAGTCTTTAAGTGTCACAACCTTATAGGGAACAGAAAGGAGATCCACCAATCAGAAAGCCAATTTCTGCTGCCTTGAGCTGAATGGCTGACTTGTCTCTGGCATGTTTATGCCATGTGCTCTTTTTCTCTGCCGTATTTCTTTCCTAATGTATTTTACTGTGTTCCATCTTGCCTGAGTACTTCTCTTGTCTTATTCATTATTAGGGGAATTTTATTGTGCTGTTTCCACATGTCAGTTATATCCCCAATCAACCTCCTCATCTGTCACAGTTCCCCGTTCCCCTCCTCCTTCCTTAAAATAATTTTAATAAGTTTCTTTTTTTTTTCTTTTCATGCACACAAATACAATATATACTTATCTTGGGAAGCCTTCGTTGATTTTGAATTATAACTTCGATGGATATATAATCTCAGTCGATTTTATTTTCTCTCAGTGCTTGAAATATCATTCCATGCTTTACTGGCTTTTAAGGGTTTCTGATAAGAGGTGGTATATAATTAGGAGATGTGATTGCCTTTGGAAGTAACCTCCTGAAGGCTCTCCTTTTCTCTTTTGCTAGCAGGCCTTCTGGTGGGAGACGAGGAGTTATCTTTTGTTTAACTGTCTGAGAGTCTGCTATTTCTTCTATTAACCTAAAATTCAGTCTTTTTGGATTTTACCTGGACCCCTATCTCTTCCTCTAGCATGCCTGTACTTGGTGTTTTGTTTTAGATTCTTAGAAATGCAAGAATGTGCTTATATGCTAATGTCTGTAACCTGTTTTCTTCCCTCCTGGTATTTTGTCTCTCTCCACCCTCTACCTCCTGGGTTATTTTGTTTCATATATTAATTTCACTGTTAGTGAATCTGTTAGTTAGATTCTATAAAAGGGTTAGACTACAATGTGCTTCATAGAGAAAACAAACCAAATACATTATACTGCAGGTAAAGTGAAAATATTTTTTACTTGTCTCATTATTAAGTTTCTTATGGAAATGCTTTAGAAATATTTCTCTTATTTCTGATTAAATAAACACACCATAGCCATTCAAGGAGGGGCTGGGAATGTAGTTCAGTGGAGAGTGCTTGCCTAGCATGCATGAGGCACTGGGTTTGATTCCTCAGTACCACTTAAACAAAATAATAATAATAATGAAATTTTTAAAAATTTAAGGAAAAATGAAAGTTCAAAATGGAATGAACTGTTTAAGCATTTACTATAATTAGCTTATTTTGTAACCATGATAATTTTTTAATTAGGGTAGATTTATTCTATTTAGAACTGTACGTGATAATGTATAAAGCATAACGTATGTAGTTCAATATATTTGAAAACCTGACAGGATGATTCCTAGAAAATGTATATCAATAGATTATTAAACATATAGAAAGAAAGACAGAGTAGAGTAGACCAAAGAAGGAAGACAAGATGAACTCAATGACCAGAGATTCAGGACAAACCAGAGAGGGACACTCTACCAAAATAGAGGCTGTGGGGCTTTAAGGGATGGGATATGGGGGAATGAGACTGGGCACAGAGTAGCTCAGGGGCAGGAAGTTGATATTTGTGATATGGCCACAGGGACCAGCAGCCCAGATTAAGAGAGATTGAGTTGAGCAAAACCTAATAGCCAATGGGGCTGGGAAGGTGGCTCAGTGGTAGAGCGCTTGCCTTGCATGCCTGAGGCCCTGGGTTCGATTCCTCAGCACCACATAAGCAAAAAAAAAAAAAAAAGAAATAAAAAAAAAAGCCGGGCGCTGGTGGCTCACGCCTGTAATCCTAGCTACTCAGGAGGCTGAGATCTGAGGATCAAGGTTCAAAGCCAGCCTGGGCAGGAAAGACCGTGAGACTCCTATCTCCAATAAAAACCACCAGAAAACCGGAAGTGGCGCTGTAGCTCAAGTGGTAGAGCCTTGAGCTGAAGAGCTGAGGGACAGCGCCCAAGCCCAGAGTTCAAGCCCCACGACCAACAAAAAAACAAACAAACAAACAAACAAAAACCTAATAGCCAAATGCTATTCTCTTTCAAGAAATGGCATTAGACCATTCCTGATTGCATAAAAAAATAGTACTTTTTTTTTTTTGGCAGTCGTAGGGCTTGAACTCTGGACTTGGGCACTGTCCCTCAGCTCAAGGCAAGTGCTCTACCATTATGCCACAGTGCCACTTCTGGTTTTCTGGTGGTTTATTGGAGATAAGAGTCTCACGGACTTTCCTGCCCAGGCTGGCTTTGAAGCGTGATCCTCAGATCTCAGCTTCCTGAGTGGCTAGGATTACTGGTATGAGCCACTGTTGCTGGCTTACTACATTCTTAATAGTACATTAAGATTGTATAATGCGTGACGAGATCTGATCATCACACAATACATACATATATTGAAATGTCAGTGCCCCCTATGAATATGTACAATTACAATGTCTTCCTTAATAATATTTTGCTATAATGAGAGAGGGCAGAGTAGGATTGGAGAGCAGAGGCTTTAACTTTTGTATGAAAGGTATAATTTTGCAGTACTTACTTCTATCTTGCTGTTATTAATAATATAATATTGTTACTGCTATTATAATAGGTTGATGAAATGTGTGAGGAAAATATTGAAGTGTAAATTCACTTGTTCCTCTTCAGAAAAAGTCTGCTTCATGTCTCTCTCTCTCTTTTTTTTTTAACCTACCTTTCCAGGAGTTGGTGCTGCAGTAATCGATAACTACCTTTATGTGGTTGGTGGTCACTCGGGGTCTTCCTATCTGAACACAGTGCAGAAATATGACCCTATCTCAGATACGTGGCTGGATTCAGCTGGCATGATATACTGTCGCTGCAATTTTGGATTAACTGCACTTTGACAATTGGGAACCCTTGTGAATAGCATGAAAAGATGTCCAGTTTTCTGAAACCTAAAAGCTACAGTGCTTTTTGTGTGTGTGTGTGTGTGCGTGTGTATGTGTGTGCGTGCGGCGCCAGTCCTGAGGCATGTACTCAGGGCCTACGCACTGCCCCTGAGCTTTTTTGATCAAGGCTAGCACTCTACCACTTGAGCCACAGCTCCACTTCCAGCTTTTTGGTGGTTAATTGGAGATGTAAATCTCATGGACTATCCTGCCCAGGCTGACTTCAAATTGTGATCTTCAGATCTCAAGCCTCCTGAGTAGTTAGGATTATAAGGCATGAGCCACTAGCGCCAAGCCACATTGCTTTCTTTTAACTTGAAATGGCTTGAAGACTCAGACTTTTGAGTTGTTGGTACTTTTGAATTGGCAAATAGTTTTGGTTTCCTCTTGGTTCCACAATAAATCAATAGTTAAGGAAAAAGGAAAGACTTTGCCAATTGAATTGTGCACTTTTTTCCTAAGACTGGGATAGGCTACTTTATGTTCCCATGTGTATATGTAGAGAAATCTTGCTGCTTTTATTATTATTATTATTATTATAGTCTTCCTTTCTTGATGCATATTATGATTTAGTTGTATGAAAGAGGTAGTCGATTGTAGAGTGTATGGAACAACTGAAAAGAATGTTTATACTCCTTGTAGGATGCAAATTTCATATGCTTCACGTATTTTATACAAAGGGCTGCTTTTACTTTCAGTACTTTTAAGGGTTGTAAATACATGCCATGGCAAGTCATCTGGATATTCTTTCAGGTAACAGCTTTGGAGCTAGTGGTGTAGTAAGTCTGCAAAAGAGTTTCTTTTATTACCTTATTTGGGTGTATTCACTGTTAATATTTTTTATACATGTGTAAGTTAATGCTGGATGAATTCTGTTACTCTTCTATGCTGTCATAAGCATGGATAGAGTTGGTATCAGTTTCAATTTTTCTTTAGTAGTTCAGCACGCTTCCCAGTGTTGCTGCAGGTATTTTAAGTGTTTAGTAACCCGATTGATGCACTCTTCATTTTTTTCATATACCTGAAATAATTTTAGTTTTTTAAAAGATTTTTATTTGCTTTTATGATGTATTCATATATACAAATGGTGCTAACTGTAAGATTTGTCACAAGGCCATAACTGATGTGTTTTTTTTTTTTTTTGGTTCCTTAGTGTAAAATATGCATGACTGTTTTGTCTTTGTCTTTTCTTTTTACTGGCTTGATTAACTGTGTTTATTAAAAATGTTAGTGATTATATTAATGTTAAATCCAAAAATTATCTAAATGGATTATGTCCTGCTTTTCTTGGTTTTTAAATAATGATTAAGGGAAGATACATTTTGTTTTCGTACATGTGCTAGAGATTTCATATCCTTAAAACAGAAATATATGCATTAAATATAAAGGACTAGGTAGTCATTCATTAGTTTGTTCACTTCTTAGGTAACTGAATATTTTAAAGTTATTGAAGAAAACTGGAACTTGATGTTTACTTCAGTAATGGTTCTAAATTTGGTTCTGCTTTGACTAAAGAAATGTTTGCAGTAGTCAAGGACAGCTTTTTTTTTTTAAGGAAGTTAGTTTATTTTAGCATGTTTTAGTAAATGCATTAAAACTTGCATTTTCATTATAATGACGGTACTTGTGTGTTTGGTACTGTAGTAATCTTGTTTTCATTTCCTTGATTTTCTTTTTTAACTATTCATTATGTCTTTATAAGTCTGTAGGCCAGTGCGTTTCCCCCCAACCCCCAGGAAAAACTTCATACTGCATTTTTAAGTGCCATAATATCCTAAACTTATTAAGAAGCCATTTGTAATTACAAAAGTTCAATTGTTAGCATACCTGTTGTTTCTTAAAACTATAACCAAGCAATTTGTAGCTAGCTCTCCTTGTTCTTCCATAAACTACTAGTTGTAGACTTGAGAATATACTACAAAATGATGTAGTTATCTTTAATCATGAAAGTAGTATCATGCTTTATGAATATTTGTGCAGATTGTAAGGTGATTTTTAGTCTCATTTAGAACTCACAGAAGCTACTAATAAAATCAGCTGAATTTTTTTATGTTGCTTGTTTGAATAACATAATGATATATAGCAATAACTTTTTCATTGATCTAAATAATTCTGTTGAATAGAAATAAGGTGCACTATTGTGGATAGCCTAAACTTTGTTTAAAGCAAAACAATTAAAAATAGGTTCCATCACATACTTAGTTCCCCATCTCAGTTGCCTTTATTTGTCAAATTATTAAACAAATACATTTATACTATTTTTAATCTTCTCTTTCCACAAAATAAAAGGATATGAAAGACCATGAACATTAAACCAATGAAATACCATAGAATATTTATACCAGTCATTTTATTTTGTTTTACTCATGTATACCACTATTAAAGTAGTTTATAATATATAATCATTTGCAAATGAGTTCAAAAGTACACCCTAATCATTTTTAAAACTCTAAATTTCATCTTGATGAAGACTAAATGTAAGACATCTTGACCTATAGTAGGAATCATATAGCAAAGAACAAATTGTGAGCACCCACCTCTGAAGGGAAGAAAAAAATATTCAAAAACTAGAAATATATTGAGATTTCTGTTGTACTATGGTCAACAGCCGGTGATACTAATATGACCTGAGATCTGGAAAGTTTATAATACAGCTTTCTCTTGAAAATCTGTGGAGTTTTATTATGAATAATTTGCAAGTCGTGAATTTAAAGCTACATATTTCTTCTATTAAAAAGGACCAAACACTTGGTCATAAATCCCTAGATTTAATTGTATTATACGTAACTATACACATTCAGACAAGGACAGGAAAGCTATTTAAGACTATGCAGAAATAATTTTGGAAAGAATGAAAGAGGAAAACAGAAATAAATCAATGACAGATAATGACTTAATTTGAAAGGAATATTTGACTATGTAATTTTTGTTGGATGTAGTAATAGAACTTAACAGATTTTTAAAAATTTAACCTAAAGGGCATTTATAAGTTGCACTTGTAATTGGTAATCTTGTTTAAATATAAATGATATTAAATTATAGGAAGTGTATCAAGTGATAGAAAAATACCATTAGGTTTTGAATTTTTGTTTTGATACTTTGACATATATGGAGAGATTACTAGATATATGAGAAACTCCCAGAGCTTGTAAAACAGTGTCTATCTGTTGAAATAGAAATATGTTCTCACTCAAAAGAACAAAATATAGTGGAGTAATCCTATACCCCAATAACTTTTATGGCAAAGTGTGATTCTGTTTTCTTCCAACATCATAAGTAATTAGACATCTAGTTTATTTATAAGCAATTCTATAAGCATGAAAATGAATCATGAAAATCCTGATAATTATAGGACTTTACATTTCCTGGAATTGGGTAATTTACTTTCTAGAACAACAACAAAACTATAGGAAAGAAAAAAATGTAGAATATTCAGGCTCTGGCTAATATTGAGGAAAATGTATGTATATATCATATTGTGTTTATTTTCACTTTTGGTATTGGATTCCTGGTATTGTCACCTAAGTGCTCATTTTCAGGAAAATCAGATTCTTCAATAAACATACTGCTTAAAGTTCAATAAACTTGTGATAACCTCTATAACCTCTTTAGTCAGGACGTTAAGAAATTATAAGATGTCATATGTCAAGTTAACATCCAGTTCTATTTCTGAACCTTTTTACTCCTTTGTAAATAGCATTTTAATTAGATGTAATTTAATTAATGATTCTGTGGCTGGATATGTATTGGATTTTCATTTAAGCTCTATTGATTCAGTGTTGAAACACATTTCAAAAGACTGAGGAATACAATAAGTACAAAACATATTAAATATTAAAAGGTTTACAAACGTAGTATGTGTGGAGTCAAAATCGTTTATATCTGTAGAGAGAAATTATTATATCTTTTATATTACATACCTATGTCTTCAATATTAACTAGATAAAATTTGTTGTTTATTTAGTCAAGTTACCATGTATAAAATCCTATTTATTTTAAAATACAAAGCAAAAATTTCCAAGTTTGCCTTAAAATACAAATGAAATTAAAGAACTGGATGATAATGCCTATATTTTTGCCTTATGAATCGTGCTGTATCATAAACCAGAAATGGTTTTGATTTTAACAGGATTCTGAAATTCTGTAGGTGTAGAGTACTAATATTTGTACTCAGTTTCAAAGAATGTGATTTAGTTGTGAGTAATGTTAATATTTAAATGTTTTTATACCTGTATTTTACCTCTGAATATATACCTTTTTAGCATCAGGGTTTTATTTTTGTTTACATAGTTAAGTGGCATTTAACATGTTGACAGTTGTATTTCTTTGTCTCTTAAAAGTTCTTTGTGCATATTATTGTGGTAATGCTCTGATGGTTATGGTTAAATTTAATTGAATGTGAAGTATTTAAAATAAAATTTAAAATTGTAAATGTGTATCATACTATAATTGTGAACTGAACTTCATTATTCTTGTCTCTTAGATTCTTTTTGGTGGAGAGGTATAGCTCTCAGTTGAAGTGGAAGGCTGTGGTGGCTCACATTTTTAAATTTGGGTGCGCAGGAGGCTGAGATCCAGAGTATCCTAGTTCAAAGCAGGATCAAGCAGAGAAGTCCATGAAACTCCATCTCCATAAAATAACAAGCAAAAAGCTGCGCTAGAACTATGATTCAAGTGATAGAGCATCAGGGAGCAAACCAGATCCAATGAATGAATATGAAGCCCAAGTTCAAACCCTAGTACCATGGGAGAAAAAAAATGTTGCGATGGATTCAGCAAGGGGGAAGAAGCCTGTAATCTCAGTAGTCCTTAAGAAACAGATAGGCATTTTTGAAGCCAGTGAGGTTACAGATTGATATTCATCTCTAAAAAAGTGGAGATGGGCCTCAGGTAGGTACTCCTTTACCTCATCACCAGGTTGTAATGAAAACAGGTCTAAGACCAAATTCTGTCTCACAGAAAGCTCAGTAAGCAAGCTCAATTTCTATCCTTTTAGATTCTCTAACTAGACTAACAAAAAGGGGGGAAGGGT